CTCCACTTAGGACCTACCATCAGATTGCTGATTTCCCATTTATAATGTGTATTCAACTAAGGAGCTGCCATTAAATTATCGTGCTTTAAACTCTCTTAAAAGCAATCCTATTTGTGTGGTTAACCTACCAAATCAATACTTGGTTAATTTGATTTGCTTAATTATGCCTTCACATTTTAAAAATTGCTTTTTAAGTTAATTTTGTAGTATAATTTAATTTAATAAAATATGTCCATGAATCTAGAGAAAAGGTTGGCAGCTAGAGCATACAGGCCCCATCTGGCCTATGACCTGTTTTTATATGGCCCCTGGTTTAAAAGTAGGTTTTATGCCTGTAATCAACTCTAATATGCACACACGCACACATACATACACACACACACTGCAACAGTGACTATACATGGTTCATAAAACCTAAACTAATTATCATCTGGCCCTTTGCACAAAAATAAAAAACTAGTAATTCTTATTCTTGGGTAAAATCTGCAAAATAAGATATTTTTTAAAACGGCTTTTTATTTTTTAAAATTTGTGTCTGTGTATATGTATGTACATATATGTGTGTGTGTGTGTGTGTGTGTGTGTGTGTGTGTGTGTGTGTGTATGTAAGTATGTAGTATGTATACCATGTGTGTACAGGTGCCCAGGGGTGCAGATGGGGGTGTTAGATCCCCTGGAGCTGGAGTTAAGGAGGTTGTAAGCGGATGAGGGTGCTGGGAACTGTACCCAGGTCTTCAGGAAGAGCAGTGAGTGCTCTTAGTCACTGAGTTATTTCCCCAGCCCCCAGAGAGATAATCATTTCCTACTGGTAACTCAGTCTCCCCCATTCTGTCCCTTCCCTTCCTCTACAGGTAAAGCATACTTACTTGTTTTGACTTGAAGCTCAACTTGCTATTGTTTGTTTATTAAACAGGATCTTAAGCATCACAAGCTGGTCTCAAACTTGCTGGGTAGCTAAGGATGACTTTGAACTTCAGATCTTCTCGTCTTGACACACACACACACACACACACACACACACACACACACACACA